TATGCAGTGTATTATTTGTTGAAATTGTACTTCTGATTTGATTTGAAACTGTCTCATTGCTATCTGTTTATCAATAAAACTTTGAAAAAAATCTCTACGTTGGTTTTCAAAATGGAACCTCATCAATAGTGTATAACAGTTTCCTTTTCTCCACATTCTTACCTGTAGTCATCTTTTTTTGTATTTTTGATAAGTCATTCTAACTCATTTTCTTGATGACTAACGATAGTGACCATTTTTCTATGTACTTGTGGCCATTTGTATTTCTATTTTATAGAAATATTTATACAGATTACTTTAATTTTTTTTTTTTTGTCACAGTAACAGGGATTGAACTCAGGACTTTGCACTTACCAGGCAAGCACTTATTCCACTGAGTTATCTCCCGGCCCCTACTTTAATCTTCTCTTCAGGGTATTTTTCACTTTTCTGGTTAATCATCATCCCTTTTACATTTCTATTCTTTTATCAGTGGGGAGTTGGGGGAGAAAGGCTGTTAGCAAGCATGGTTATCTGATATCTAAAATAAGTATTATTCATGGATGTTTAAATTCTCAAACTGACAATTTTCATATGTAAGGGCAAACAAAAGAAGAAAATGTGGATCCTTAGGACACATTTGATCTCATACTGCTATAAATAATCACAGCCCTGAGTACGCACCTTTCTGATGTTAGCAAAAGTACTCTGTTTGCTGGCCGGAAGGCAAGTTATTTATCTGGCCTCATTGTTTTCTGAAATTGATTGCCCTATGTGATGGTTACTTTTTTATCCCAGAGTAAAAACTGAAGAGGGTGCAAGCTTAAGAGGGTGAGAAGAAAACTCAGATTTGAGTAAAATGGGCTTAATTTTGGCCATGGCCAATGCTATTCTCATTTATATGACCGTTCGGGGTTTAACGATCAATCTGCCCCATGTCTCCTATTCTTCTTTTAAGAAGGTTTTCTTAGCTCTGCTCTCTTGGTAGTACTAGGATTCCACATTTAATGTAGATTTGCTTTCCTTTGGCTTCAATCCTTCGAGAATGTGTTTTATTTTGCAGTATTTTCACCAAGTGGTTTGGTTTCATCATTGATGCTCCAATACATCAGTGTTCTTTTCAGGGTGTGGTACCCAGAAGTGGGTGTGACACTCCAATCATGTCAGTGTGAAGCAATGGAATTTTACTCTGTTATCTGAAGCAACAATATGATCAATTATTGTTAATCTAAAGCCACTGGATCTTTACAATCTTGCCTGAGATAGACAAAGTTAACCTTTCTTCACTTTCCTAGGTGAGTGAGGGCCCATGTTCTAGACTGTAGTTTTGTTATGTGGTTCCATGGATACATATTTGATTTTAAAGCAGGGTCTTTCAATGTTGCCTAGGCAGCCTCTAGCCCCTGACCTCCAGCCATCCTCTTGCCTCAGCCTCTCAAGTACTTGGGACTACAGGTCTGGATCACTGTACCTGCTACATGATTCTGTTTTTATTTTCACGAGGCAGTGTAATTGTCTCCATGTCCTACCATATCCCCCTTTGGATTGGGAACTCGCTGTCACCAAGGCTGCCTACAGCTTATCTGAGAGAAGATAATCTGGTTGAGTAGGCCTGAAGAAGGCTGTACTGCTTTTATAAACAGGAGGTGATGGACTCAAATCTAACAGCTCTGTTCTATGAGCATATTTCTGTAAAGTAAATTACAGGTTATTTTTTTTAAAATTAAAGACAGGATGAATATAACCAGCTACTGAGGTGGCAAAGTCCTCATTGTTGAAAAAGAAAATTAATGAAAGTTGTTCTTACATCTCTAAGAAAAGCACAGTCAGCTTCCTGTGAGGAGATGGGACGTCGACGCTGCATCTGGCCTGCAGAGGGCGCTGTGCACAAACTGGCGGCTCAGTTGCCCGCGGTGGCAGCTGGAGGATGCTTCCCCGCGGAGTTCTTTGAAGACACAAGTGAGAGGGAGCAGAGGACAGAAGCACCCCGCGCCACCGCAGCAGTCTGTATGCTTAAACGCCCGGCGTGTCTAGCCTGACCCCACTCACACCTTCGCACTGCCCAGCCATGCTCCCCGTGCTCATCCCAGTCCTGGCGTTGCGTTTTGTCCTGAGTGAGTACTTTCTTATGGTCCTGTAAGTCCCAGTTTCTGATTTAAATCTTAGCCAAAATACTGTTCTTTAGCACTTACTGACGCAAATCGGATTCCCCAGAAGACGCTGGAGCCCAGTCTGTGACCCAGCCCGACTCCCGCGTGGCTGTCCCGGAGCGGGCCCCTGTGCAGCTGAGATGCACCTACTCCTATGGCGGAGCCCTGTATCTCTTCTGGTACCTTCAGCCCCCAGGCCAGGGCCCCCGGCTTCTGCTCAGGTACTATTCAGGAGACCCTCGGGTTCAAGGCATCAGAAGCTTCGAGGCTGAACACAGGAAGAATGAATCTTCTTTCCACCTGAGAAAACGCTCTGTGCAGTGGAGCGACACAGCTGAGTACTTCTGCGCCCTGAGCCCCACAGCGCCTACGGCTGCAGGGGGAGCCCGACCAAAACTGAGTCGCCTGGAGGGCGGTTGCATCTGAAGGGTCGTGCGTTCCGACGCGGCTGAAGCCGGGGTGGGCGCTCCTGCCCCGCAGCGGGGCGTGTGCAGGGACCTGCTGAGCCTGCGCGGCGGGTGCGCATTCAGCGGCTGGGCCAGGCCCCGGGACGTGCCCGGGAGGGCTCTGCCTGTCATTTAGCAGCTTGTCTTCCAGTATCCAGAACAGGAGTGAAATTCTTTCTTAGGCTTATCTCCTTGCAGATTTACTGCCTTCCTGACTTGGAAATGTGTTTTTAATTAACTTTATTGATATATTTTAGATATACATGATTTGAATATACACATTCGTGTTCATCCCAGGGAATTTGTACCAGTGTATGATATATTTTGATGCTTTTTTTTTTGTTCCCTAATCCCCACTCTTCCCTTCAACTTCTCCTCCCCACCTTATTTACAAAAGCTTTGTTCCATTTTTCCTTCTATTCCTTTTTCCCCTTTCCCTTCTCTCTCCTGCATTGTTTTCCTTCCTATTTGAACCCCTTTGTCCCGTTTCCCAATATCTCATGCATTTGGTCCCTATTTATACTTTTGGTTTCTCACGCCAGAGAAACAATGCAGCGCAAAACATGTCCAGCACCGTTTATTAAAGAGGCGATCTTTCTTCCAGCGAGGTGTTTGGCCCTTTTATCAAAGATAAGGTGGCTAAGTGTGTTTGAAGTTGTATTTGCATCTTGTAATCTGTTCCATCAGTCCTTGGGTCTGTTTTTTATTTTGCCAGTACCATGCTGTTTTTTTTTAAATAAAGAGAATAATAAAATAGTAAAAAAAAAAAATAGAAGCAATACCGAATTTCACTAAACAAAATTACAGGAATTCAATAATGGTTGTTGTATTGCATTCTGTTGTCTTCAAATTTGTTGCTCAGATTATCATATATAAGCATGCAGAACTAGTTAAACATTATAAAAAATTAAAAAGGAGAGAGAGAGAGGAAAAAACATAAACATTAACTGCTTCTTTCAATAGACCAGCAGAAATCAGCAGTACAATTATCCAAGCAAGCCATCCTGTGTATGTATGTATTTCTTTCTTTCCCCCTTTCTCATGCTGTTTTTATAATAGCTTTGTAATATAATTTCAAGCCAAAGACTGTGATGTCCCCGTCTTGCTTTTTTTATTCCCCCGATAGAATTGCTTTTGCTATTCTAAATGGTTCCAAATGAGTTTTAGGATTGTTTTCCCTCGTTTTCTGAGATAT